GAGAGAGAGAGAGAGAGAGAGAGAGAGAGAGAGAGAGAGAGAGAGAGAGAGAGAGAGCTGACTGCAAAATGGGATACCTTGGCTGTGGAAGAAGAGGGGGCAGAAAGAGCAGCAGATAGGTGCACAAGCATACAAGAGGTACAACTGTTATGCATATGCGACATAGTCGTCCCATTCTTCCTCATGCCACTCATGGAAAGAGAAGATCAATGGGCCAGCATACGAAACACACAGTGGTGATGCACATGGGACATTGTCGTTCCATATCCTTGTCAAATGCAACCCGGTTAATGAGCAGCTATTTGAGTAAAGAATGTCACCTGTTCTGCGCAGGGCGTGTAGTCGACTCGACATTGTGCCTATGCTCAAGTTGTTACACTAGTTCCGACCACCACGGCCATCCAAGACAAGCAGTGCGCAGTAGGGCGACCAAGTGGCAGTGCATTTGTGGTGGGGGTAAATGAGACGTATAGCATTGTTGGCGTTTGTTGGATCCCATCATCATCCTTCTGGTGTATATCATCACCACTTCATGCAGTGCCGTCGTCATTTATCTTGAGGGTCCGTTCCGTTCTGTGCTGATTGTTCTTGGAGAGTCTGACTATATGAACACCGACTATGACATTGCTCCTGTGTGAGGTAAACTGGAGCCAGTGTATAATGCGGCACAGGCACACACCACGTGTAGAATGAATTGCCAGCTTCAAACTGTAGATCCAGAAACCTGTTCCACTTCCATCGAGAGGACGATCACATCTTTCGCCATTTCTTCCTTCATTTCTTCTCTTTCCGGGCCGAAGGATCCCTGACCAGGCAAACTCTTCCTTCAAAACCTCGGTCTTGGTAGGGGGACCCTGCAGCTGTGGCCCGTGGGTGCTGCTCCTGTAATAATACCGGGCTCGAGTCTATTGGCTATTGGTGGGGAGTTGCACCTGATGACAACGGGTCAACATTCCACAAATACACCCTTGAAGCAGTTCTAAGGGCCGAGAGCGACTCTTCAACCTCAAAGAGGTCGCCAGATATACCTTCAACACAAGTCCCCTCCTACACCCATTGACCAGAGTACATTCATTGACTCTTAGCAAAGGTTTGGGACATCGCCAAGGTCCCTCGTGGGGCCACACAAGATAGCAAGGCATTTGCAAGGGATCATTCCACACCAGATCTACACCAGATCTACACCAGATCTTCACCAGATCTACACCAGATCTACACCAGATCTACACCAGATCTACACCAGATCTACACCAGATCTACACCAGATCTACAACAGACCAAGCCAGATATACCATATCCGTTTCTTATTCTTACAGTGTAGCTTTATTGACTATGAGCAAAGATTTCGGGAAACGGTGAAGGTCCCGCCCGGAGCCACTGTGACACAAAATAGTAAAGCAATAATTGCAAGGGATCATTCCATACCAGATCAAGCCAGATCTGCCACATCCCCTTCTTATTCTTACCATGTACTCTCTCTCTCTCTCTCTCTCTCTCTCTCTCTCTCTCTCTCTCTCTCTCTCTCTCTCTCTCTCTCTC